AAGTTATACATGTAGCCAATTGTACACTCTCCTGTAGTAGTTCATTGAACCACAATACTGATAAGTGATTAATAAAAATTAAAAGACCAAAAAGGTCAGCTTAAAAAAAAAAAAAAAAAAATCTCAACATCTTATTAAAATTTTTAGTTTTAAACATATTACTAATACTTATATATAATATATTATAAATACTATTATTATACTTACTATTAAATATCATATTCAAAATATTGTTTTTAGCTAAGCTATTTATAAAAAAATTTTTATTTATTATATTGGTCTTGTGAAGCAAAAAGCCAAACTTAGTCATATAATTTTTACTATCACTCTTCTTTATTCTTAATCTTACAACATTTGCAACATTTAGAAAATTCAACTACAACATCATATTTCTAACTTCATTAAACATCTTAACAATACTGAACTCCTTGGTACCAGTTTCTATATTTGCCTCTAACAACTACAAAATAATCTTTGGTCCTTGACTAATATATTGCATCATCCTAATTTTTTAATTGATAAACCAAATAAACAAACAATTAGCCTTAAAATTATTTAACTCTTTTCTTATTTAGAACTATCTATTAATCCAAACCCTATATAAAACATTCTATATACAGTTAATACTAAAACAATTGCATTAGAATCAATACTATCATCATACTTCAAATATCTAAGTTTTAAAAAACAACATTGTCAATATTATATTCTTTTTCTTAATCAATTTACTACATATGATAATTTTGTTTCCTTGACTGAAAACATATTTCATCAAGAATTCATAAAATACCCAAAAATAGAAAGATATTATGATTTATAATTTTTGAAAATATTATAACAAATTATTTTTATTATTAAACTCTTTATAACTATTATCAATTTCTAAAAATCAATCACTTTAGCTACATCATAAAACATTTCTTAAAATATTCTAAACTATAACTTATTACTATACTTCAAAATCAAATAATTATAGATAAAGCCAGAAGACAACCAACTTTTTCTAAATAAATACTTATTACTCATTGGTATAGCAATATTGAGCTTTATGCTACACAACTATACCTAACACTTTCAATTATAACTAAACTATACACTAATTGCAATCTTAATTTCAATCTTATTATTTACAAATGTACATATTTATTTCTATTAATCTTACAACTAAATTTTTTAAAAAATTTAATACTCAAAACCAATAACTTAATCTCAATGTAAACTATTTTGATTTGCTTTACTCTATTGCTATCTGACATCCTATTCAAATTTCTAATGCTGCTTATATCTATATAATTATATTACTTATTTTATTTATTTTCAATAATAATAATCTTACTAACATTTTGCAATTAATTGTTAATTCAAACTAAAGTCTAAACTTTACTTTTATACTGATGAATCAGTTATTCAGACAGGCATATATTAATGCTCAATAGAAATTGAATAGATTTTGATACAAAACAACATCTTATATATTTTTTAAGCACAAACTAAGTTTTAGTCATGCTTTTTTAAAGTAGAAATTACTGTAATTCTTTCTACTATTATTACTGTATTCAAAAACTGTATAGTATATATTTATACTAATTTACAATTTGCTATATTCAAATATAACAGTACCAATTTAACATCTCTCAAATTATTATTTATTAATATTTCATATCACTTATTCTAATATACTTTAATTAATTTTATAAACTCTTATAAATATACAATTTATTTTACATAAAATAGCTGCATATCATAATAATGAATTCAATAACCTTGCTAACAACCTTGCTTACAACCATTTTAATTTTCTATACTTACTATTTAACATACAAAAATATTATAATTCTAACTATACATTCTAACTTGATAACTATCTTATTGAACTACTAATTTGTTATTACATCTGTACAATTTGTTATGCCTGTATCTATGCATTATAATTATCTTAACATCACTTCTAAAAATAGTTACAAATTGTAATTCAAACTAATTAGAAAGCTATCTAATTCTGTATTAATAATAATTAAAAAATAACAAACTATTTTTATAGCTTTTAAATATCTTAATTTAAGTTCTTCTGTATAAAAATCCTTATAGATAACCTCTCAACTCCACATAATCTATATAAATATAACTATATCCAATCTCCTAACTGTCACCAATGTAATTAAATCAGTACTTCATTTTACTGAACTATCTGCCTATTCACATATCTTCTTAACAATCTTATTGATAACTCATTTAAACATGTTCTTAATATATCTACTCTTAATACATTACCAAGAACTGTATCTGATTTGCATAACCAAATCAAAAATCTTAATTATATACAAAATTATAATATATTAAATTCATCCTTTTTGATATTAACACTATTTGATCTAATCTTTTATGAATTAATTGATTCAATCAAAGATATTACTCTATCTACTAAAACTGTTATTACATTTTCAATTAAATTTCTGCTTCATCTTAATCAACAAATTTATACCCAAATCTGGATACTATACTGTGCTTCTAGGCCTTAACCTAGCAAACAATCTCAATCAATTTTAATATTTTATATTTTTTAAACTCATTGACTCAACATGTATTACACTTAATTGCTAGTCCTAAAATTAAAACATGATATCTTAAATGAATCAAATACCAAATGAACTTTCTCATTATAATTACAAATTCTAAAATCTAGATGAGTCTTAATTACTCTGGTAGGTTTAGGTTACAGATAACTTGTCTGAACCTCTAATCTTAATATCTTATAAATATAGAATTCAAAAATAATTTTTTTTTGTATATTCTACTTGTAAAAAGTTTAATTGAGTTTTAATAAAAATAGAAGCATGGCCTCACCTTTAATATTAAAAAAAAAAAAAAATTGTTTACTCAACCAAAAATATACAATCTATGCTGCAATATAAATAAAATTAAATTAATATGTTACAAATTCCGATCACTGCCAATTAGTCTTTTTTTATACACATATCTAAACAATTTAGCAATTGTTTGCCATGTTGGTGATTTAAGACGTGAATCCAATCAGAATTAATGCACTGAAAAATCTTAGTTCTATATGTCAATTTTGCTTGACTATATTTGGCAATTATTAACATTGATTATGTCTTATTGTAATTGTTTCAGCAGTCTTATGTTCCAGGTCGACACAAAATAACATTTTAATGTTTGGTTCGTAGACTTATATGCATTATTGAGTCACTCGATAAGTTTTTCAAATATTCAGTGCTAAACAAAGAAAAGTATTTCGGTAAAAAAAAAAATTTATTTTTTTTATAGAATAGAATATAATAGAATAATTTTTTATTTATAATTTATTAAAATGTTATTAGTAATATTTATTGAAATTTAAAATTACGTAATTTATTATCAGACTAGTCACAAACTACTAACTAGTTTAGACCAGAACGCTTTTTTTTTTTCTTTTTTTTTGAAAATTAGGATTGGTCTATTTCCGGTTCGGATTCACAGAACAACTTAGTATCTCTAATTATGATCAAATTTCAACTCAGCTTACATATAAATTAACAAAATTTCCTCCCGCAGCTAGTCTACCTTCAAATGCCATTGAAACATCTTCATCAGAATTAATTGTTATATGATCACCATCCTCATCTTGGTATCTGATTCGAATGGGAACACTCTCATCTCGTCGTGTAGAACATAAACGTATTTTACGTTCCACACGATCACATAGCTCTCTGTATTCAATGTCTTGAGGGACAACTATCACAAAGACATCTTCAGCAAAGTTCACTTTAATTTTCATTGTAGTAGCATAATTAGACAAAGAATGTTGATGACCCTTCTTTTGATCATTTGGTGGTGACATCAATGTATTATTTATAGATGAATTAGTTGTATTAGTAGTATGTATAGATTGTCCAGAAGTTTGTGAAGAATTGCTTGATCCACTATTTCGTTGTTCTATTTCTATTGATTGAAGCCCATTATTAACAGTTTGACGTGCCGGATTGCTAGAATTTGGAATACTAGGTACAGGTTCCATATTTTCAAGTTGTAATTCCTGGATTACTTGGATATTTGGACTACTTTGTGATCTTAGGCGATTTACGACATTATGAGTTGGCAAATTCGGTACAGGCCCATTAGTTTGCTGGAATGTTTGACCTGCAGCTGCACTATGAGAATGAGAACGTTGGATTGGTGGAGGAGGATTATTATTCTGTTCTTCGTCCTCATTCATCATAAATTTGGCAATAGTACCTGCAAGGGGTGATGGATGTTCAACACTTCTACGTTGCCATATACTCGTATGATTAGAACTAGAATGTGATGTTGCACTGCTACGAGTAGATGGAGCTGGAGAACCAGGATATGATGGTGGTGGAGAATTCGGGTAGTAACCCGCATTTTCCATCTGCATAATCGCGTTTGAAGGGAATGTAGCCATGGTTGGGGGTGCAGTTGAATGTCCATTACGTGCCAATGTTTGAAGTGATGAACTTGATTGTGATCGATGTTGCAGATGTGAATTTGGCATAACAGGTGGTATTGGTGGTGAATTTGCATCCCAAGCATAAGGTGGTGGTGCTACAGAATCACTGGTTTTCGGCCTACCCTTCTCATTATATGGAGAAGGTAATTGACCATAAGGTAATGATTGACTTTTTAATTTACTATAACCAACAACAAAGTCATCTGCTTCGTCATCGTCATCGTCATCATACTCATCTTCATCGTCAATGAATGAATCAGTGTCACCATCTCGACGAAAGTAAGGAAGATCAAGGTTCTGTAAGGATGCCAATTGTGTGTTAGATACTCCGGTACGTTTCGGTGGAGTTGCATTATTATCTAATGGTCCTTTCGTCAAGGTATTTCGATTGCTATTATTTCCTGAATCTGTTAACAATTTTTCTAATGTGGATTTCCATTGTTTAAGTTGTTCTTCATTTCTACATTTGAGAGAAAAAGATTCCATCTCACTATCACCTCGCCAGTATACTTTTAAAGACCACACTAAAATTTTAAACATGAAACATTAAAATAATAATAATTAAAAGTAATAAAATTTTTTTTATATAAATTCAACAACATACATCCAGACCGACTGTTGTCTACTGCAGCGGTAATATTGTGTATAAATATTCTTCCTTTTAATTGTAAGCTAGCTCTTTTAGATTTTCGATTATTATTTTTAAGAAGTTGTGATTTACTTTGTTGTTTTTTTGAATTTGTTTCTTTGCAACAAAGTAGAATCTTCTCAAATAAATATACGTGATATTCGCGCTCAGAATCATCCTTAGACATAGTAAATACATCTTCAAGTAAAAGTTCACCAAATTGCTCAATTCGATGACCTTTCCAATCTTCTACACGGCGTTCCAAATCTTTAACAACGGCAGCATTTTCTTGTTGACGCCGAGTTTCATTTACACGATCCGCAACACGTTTGATTGCGTTGAGGCCGCATCTAATTTCCTCATAATGTATATCATCTTTATCAGTAAATTTTAATAATTCCTATATAATCATTCAGGATGACATATTAACATAAAAGAATAAAACCTTTAAATAAAAAAAAAAATTTATATAAGTACCTGTAATAATAATGGGTATTTACAAATACGTTGAATAGGCTTAATTAATAATGATGGTAGCTCATATGTTGGTTCAACAATATGAGCTAATTTCTATTTAAAAATAAAATAAAATAATAAAATAAAATAAAATTAACAATAAAAAAATTCTAAAATTTGTAAAATATCATTCATTAACATTAATTATATTAATTATATTACTTGGAGGTTTGGTAATTCTTGAATAACCAGGTCTGAAGCAGATTGATAATTTGCGCAGAATGGCTCATAAACCGCAAAATTGTCTTCCTATTTAATTTATTTAAGCATTTGCTTAAAATTATTCATACATGATATTATCAATTATAATAAATATAAATAATTTGAAAATATAAATTTTTATACTCGCAAATTATTTAAATTTATGATAGAATTGATAAAATTCATACATGTTTAATTATAAACAAAATTATATTAAAATAAAATACCATTTGTATAAACAGACTACCAAAACTCTGCTCTTCTTGACTTGCACTAGACGTAGCTTCCACACCTATAAGGAAACGGCGTTGAAAATCGACTAATTGATTGAGGTTGGCGAAGAGTAAATGAATGGTATCTGCGCTAACAATGTATTGATTATGAAGCTCTCTAGCGTAGTTCTAAATAAGAAATTTATAAATATCAAAAGGATTTGGAAATAAACTTTAAAAAATATATATATACATCAACCTTAAACGGTTAAACAAATAATTCGTAAAAAACAAAAAAAAAAAAGTATATATATTTATATTAAATACCTGTAAAACTTCCATATCCTGAACATATTTTCTTTCAGTTTCTAGCAATTCATGCACAACCCTAGCTCGATTATCAGTGGGTTTCATGGGATCTGATCTTCCCAAATCTTTCTTTCGAGATAAATTAAGAAGACCTTTCTCTTCAATTTTATCAGTTACAATTTTTACTGTATTAATGACCTAACAATAATTCAGATAATATAATACAGATAATGGATAATATAAATAATATAGAATTATAGATATTATAGATATTTTAGACATTATAAAGATTATAAATATTATAGATATTATAGGGATTTAAAATTAAAATTAAATACAAGTTTTAAACCCAATATATATTCTATTTGTTTTTTGAATAAAGACAAAATTTAAGATAACACTAGGGTAACTAGAACAAATATTTGGCATCATAATTCAACAGATAGTAGATAGCTTTCCACGTACCATAACGAAACCATTCGTATCATCTTGATACAACTGTGTAATTGTAAACATTTGTTCTGGTTTTAATTGAAATTCTTCCCGACAAGCAACCAAAAAGTTATATACACTAGCTTTAGATTTATTGACGTTTCCTGGTTTTGAATCATCAATCTTTAATAATTTTTGAGGTTTCAAAGCATTAAAGAGCGCACAAAGAGGATAACCTAACCGAAAAGTCTGCCATAAAAGTGTTACAGGATCGTCTTTAAGAACTAAACTACTAGGGCCATTTTCTGATGTCGGGGTTCCAACTATCGAGCCGTTGCTTTGCATACTATTTTGTCCTTGTATTAAATATTGTTCAAATTCTTCCACACAATAAAGTCTTCCTAAAAGATCTCGACATAATGGATATAATGATTGTGAAGCTTGAGCTGGTCGATTTAGTGTATTTCCGCTCATTGTACTTGGAGCTTCGATTGATGAAATGTTACTTTGCATTGTTCCTGAACTTGGCGTTCGTCTGAGTACTCTACTCATTATTACATATAGTTGTTTTTCTGATCAATTCGTTAAGTTTGTTTATAAGGGTAATAGATATGTTTGTTTGACAGCCCGAACCTCGTGGCAAATTGACGACCGTATTTCTTCTTAATGTTACGGTAAAGGGAGTACAAGTGTGTCGGTGTATTAGTAACAACTACTTAACACTGAAAAATTTACTACTTAACTAACCTGGGTAGAGTGATGAAGGTTGGCGGTGCAGAAGTTATCTCGCCAGCGAGCGTGTTATTAAACTTTGTTCGTTTAGTTAATAATTCTTTTTTACACAAAGTTATTTTTATTTTATTTTTACAGTTAAGAAGTTATTACAACAATATCAGCACGTATTATTTTTTATTTTTTTTTAATTCCCAGAACTTGTTTTCTTATTTGGCATTAAAAAAAATGAAGTCATGTGATTGTATACCCCATCTCTTGTATACTTTTCCGCTGTTTCAGTTTTGTACCCTCTTACACGAAAATCGATAATCGATCATTTTGATACGTAACGCGAATCGACAATGTCTTACGCAAGAGCCTTGACCAAATGACTTAATTATGAAATGTGACAATAGGGAAGCGCACGTATAACCTAATTTAATTGTGTTTAATTATATGTAATTTACTGATTTTACTATTTTAGTGCATTTGGTGCATTCGAATTGGTGGTATTGTAACGGTAATGAAAAAAAAAGCCCGTATTATTGTAGTTGGTTATACATCTTTTTGTGACTACGTATACTAAAGTAATTTGTCGGATTAAATACTAACCCGAAAGTCAAAAAAAGTATTGTGAGTCAAGCATATGATATCTAACCTAAGATTATAAGTTTGTGAGTCAACTGCAACCTTGCTTCAATAAATGGAAATATGATTTATCCTCGAAATATGATTCATCCTCAACAATCAAATTCCTCAACCAATCAAATTTAATAAATAATACGTTATAATCTATAAGTCTACAGTACGTATAAAGAAATTTATATAATCCACTTTAACTATTTCAGTATTTTGATTATTTAAGAGTCATATGACTTGGTTAGTCTCATGAAGCTGAATTAGGCTTTAACATCCTAATTATTAATATCTAAAAAAACTAGAGATAAACGATAAAGCGGTAATAAATAACTTAACATAGAAAACAAACATAATGTGACAATAATTCTCTGGTATACATTCGATACACAAAGAGACCCAAAAAGCAATTTGTGGAAAAACAAGTCTAAAAATAGAAAGATTAATAGAACGAAAATTATCTTTTAGAAGGTATATCCTGATTTCCAACTCCCTTCTTCTCTCTAGGTTATGATATGCTATATATAAAATGTCATCAAAACAAAAACAAATCAGGCCGTTCAAAATTTATTACCGTATTTGCCCCCCTCGCGTAAATACGGTAGTCAATATTTTGAGCTCGGGCTTGAAAGGGAACACACCACAGAATATTTATTTTGTCAACTTTTAATCTTTAATCACATGTTTAATTTCGAAGGAGCAGCTGAGAACAGCGAAATAAATATTCATCTTTGAATGGCCTTGATGAATTAGACACGGTCACCACTCAACGGATCAAATAAAATCTTGTACCGCGAATTAACCCCACTATGGGTGTTATTTAAGGACGTATAATTTGAAGAGAGCTAATAATTATTTTAGCCGAAGACTTAAATGATTCGCATTCAGATAAAGTAATTACGAACTCTTTTCAAACTATTTGTCCCTAAATAACGCTCATGGACGTTAATTTGCCACCCGAATTAAAAGACCTAAAAGCTCTAATTTTAAAAGTCATAATGGAAGCATGGTTAATTTCTGTCTGCTATCGAGTCGGCACAGATAGGGAAATGCACCACAAAGGAATCAATGGAACCGTACGTTAAAACCTAGGAAAGGTTCGAGCAGCTGGTCCTGAAAGTAAAAGAAATTCAAATCATTAACCGGAAAACACCATTTAAAAAAAGCTACTTTGAAGAAATTGAATATTTCAAAACATAGTGCCACTACTAATCACTTTGTACAGAAAGGCAGCATCACAAATTTATCCTCAACAAAAAAATGGACATATTCTGGCAAGTGTTACACGAAGCGCTTCCTTTGGGATACAATTAGCTTGCACAAGATACACATGTTAAAAATTTTCTCTGTGTGTGATTAACGTTAATATTTTTAAGAAAATTTGCACCAAATATATTTGTGCAACACAAAGTCAGGTGTCTGCCCAGTACGCCCGAAATTCAATCATAGAACACTTTACCAGAATGCAAATAATATTGGAATGGCTTATCAGTTTCTTGGTCCCAAGCCTGCCTACCTTGCAAAGTTACACTAGCCTACAACATTGAGGCAGGTCCATAATGATATGGTTACACGCCACTATGGTCTACGAAATTTGGGGTGGTACACACAACCAAAATGGGGTATAAAAGACATTCCGAGGACAATATTAATAAACAAACCACGCAATTGCATTGACAAAAAAAACAAAAACCTAAGAGGATTAAATTTGCAAAGCAACAATGTCAAAAAAAATCTCGAACACATTAGAAGAAATAATAGCTAATGGAATTAAGAGTCATAGACAAGATGAGAGGTGTAATGCAAGAAAGGATCTTGACAATCATACAGGAGAAAGCAAAAATAATGCGTCATTTGTTTAATATACCGATCTGAAACCTTTTTTATAGTTCTATTGTATCATTTTAGTGGCTATTGATTGGTAATTTTTTTGATAAATGAAAAAATGTCACATCATTATCGCAGCAAGGACACGGAAATATTTTGATTTATTTCGGGCCATTTAGGCCAAATTTTCAATTTATTTCGACCAATTCAAAGCAATTCAATTTTTTTAATCGGCAATTTTTGAGCCAATCATATCATTTTCGAAAATTATCCGTGTTCCCGGCCTTGGCATTGTTTCATGCATTTTTTGGCCAATAATATCATTTTCATATGACTTTGATTATTTCTTTGTCTCTTTCGTTTTCCTGGCTTTGGCATTGTTTCATACATTTTTTGACCAATCATATCATTATCATGTGATTCTTGATGAATTTTTACGACAGGGTGAAACCTGCGCTGTGCATATCGATATGAGCTAACTTTCGACAATTGGGCCCTGAATAGTCACTAAATTTAGTTTAAAACCCTTATTCAAATTTTTTTTTGATTGGTCTGACGAATTATTAGGGTGATTGTTTTGATTTAATGAGGGTCTATTCTGCATGATTCTGCAAGAAAGATTTAATGAACATGCATAAAACCCATTAGATTATCGTCTAATTATTAGACTGGGCCTACTGAAACATTGTTATTGTTATGTGTAAATGTTAAAAATAAACCTTTCGCCTCAGTCTCAGTCAATTGTATTGACAAATAGCCCGTCCCACTACGTATATCAAAAATTTTGAGGGTATTCTATGCAGCATATTGGCCCATATTGTTATGGAATTAGTAAAATCCGCTACATAGATCATGAGGCTTAAATCCGCTTTTGCACAACATAATACGGAAGGGCAATTTTAAGGTTAGACCCGATTACAAAATCATGTGACACATACAATTGGGTCTACGATAAATATGTAAACCCCGGGTCTATTCACCCTAACGGTGATCTACGTAGCGGATTTTACTAAATGTGTCAAAATTTAAATGTTTTGATTTCTTTCTGAAAATGGGGTCACCGTGACAGTAATGATTTATTGCCTGTATTTTCTCTATTCGAATATCAATATCGACTAAATTTTTATTATTCGCTACAAGCAGCTCTTTATAATAGAATCTACTAACACTAAAGAAAGTATGCACAAATTAAGCAATAATTTTTTAACTACGTATAAGAAAAAGATGCAGAGAGTATAGTAAAAGTTAATGTTAACTATATATGTAGGATCTACTTAGGTTGAAACGGAATTCCAAATGCAACCCAAATTGATACAAAATCTAAAAGTAACTTAATATAACTATAATCGTTTAATACCGTATTCTACCGTAAATAAGCACCACACCCTCTACCCCATTTTTTTAAATGTCAGATTAACGGACATTGCAATGAGATCTTTAGCCAAGTTATTTCCGCTAATCTGGCATTTAAAAAAATGGGGTAGAGGGTGTGGTGTTTATTTACGGTAGAATATGGTATATAGCAAATGCGTAATCGATTGAAGTAACGATAGTTAATTACATCTTTATCATAGTTGTAATAAAATAAATACAAATTTTAATATATCGATATTACCGATTTGAAACACCATTGATTATAAAAAACCACCGAATAAAAGCAACCCCAGATTGGAGCCGAAGATTTGACTAAGGTTGTTACGTTTTACTAATAAAATTGGACTCGAATAGCAACCCCTTTCACTTTTTTTTGCAACATTTTGATAACATTATTTTCTATCGCTATCTGATGACCTAACCTCAATATTACCTCGTAATGCATTTAATAATTGCTTTTGAAATACCTTAGTATCAAATCGGCTAATAAGCAACGTATACCGATACATGATCTTGAAACACCAACAAACCCTATAATCAAACTTGATGCGTTGTGTTGTGAATAAACCTTATCTTAAATTCCAAAATAATCATATCGATATCGATATTGGCTGGGTGAATGGTCGTGAAACTGGTGAATAATATAGCAGCCAATCAAAATTTAGATAGTCCCCAGTTTCATCAGCAATTCTAGGGTGCGTCATTTTATGTAATTTCATATGTCTAGCTGCTAGTGATGGAAATTATAGGGATGGCAAATGATTCAAAATAGAATGTTTTAAATCAGTTTTATATTGCTTTAAAATGATTTTTTAAAACATCGTCACTGATATTGATATCATGATTAATAATATTTCGATTAAGAAATAAAAAATTCATGAATGAACTTAGCATAACCACCCAAATCGGTGATCGCCACCAAAATCGGGAACGTAATACGGAACTTGCTGATATTAAAATTAGTGATAATGACGATACAGTATTTTGATTAAATGTGTTTT